TTTTAATGAATAAAAAAACTCTAAATTTAACTACTTATTTGTACTTTCAATATATATTAACATTATCCCTTTAACAGATGTTTTATTTTTTTTAATTTTAGATTATTGTATTTGTTAATTTGTACTTTCAAGACTTATTTGAAATTTTTTTATTTTCTAATATTAATATGAAAACGTTTTCTAAATTCAAAGACCAAAATATCATATATTTTACCCTATTGTTTTCTTATTTTTGTTCTATTAAAAATGTTTGTGAATTAATTTATGGAAAGTGTTTGTCAAATTTTATCCAAAGATGTTGTTATCACACTTATATTCCAACAATAGTATGTGTCTCATTTTCTATAGAGTTTCATTAGTATTATTTAATGATATATACGAAAATTTGATCCAATAGTAGAAAATATATTAATAAACTGAGAGTTAGAAAGTGAAGTGTAAACCTTCCTCTTCCGACCAAAGTCTGCAATGCCACTGTTTTCTTGATTCTCCACTGGGATTGAGTAAGGCACATTTCAAGGGCAATTTGGTAAAGTGAAATTTCTGAAACATTTGGATTGGTGGGTCACATTATCAAGTGGGGTTGCCTGTTATCTTATTTTATTTATTTTAAGTTCTTATTCTTAAAGATTGGTTGCTCTTAGCCTTGGATATAAGGTCCATTTTTTTGTTGTTGCACCTATAGCTGAACTAAGCCATGCCACCAAAACATAAGCCAGGTACAATACAAGCTGAACTGGTGTACAAATAATGCAACTAAAATCTAGCATATTTATTAGTGTCCAAGTGTGTATCACCATGCTGTGACTCTTGTCATCTCTTCATTCTTCTAATACCCTTTTGTACTTGTATGAAAAATATTGTAAAAGCACTAATTAAGGGTCAATGTTATAAAGCTAAGTCTCCAAAATTGGATATTGGATGCAAGAAAAATGCCAGCAAAATTCTTTTTTAACATTTTTTAATTAAATACTTTTTTAACTAATAATTAAAAATCACAAATTCTAATGCGTTTTACTACTAAATCAAAAGAGATACATTAAAAAAGATGTAAAATCCATAATATTTATGATTTTCAATACATTTCAACTAATAATAAAGAGAGTTTTAGAAGAAGAAAAAAAATATTAGAGAGTATTGTTAGAAAATAAATGTTAGAGAAACTTATTAAACAAGACATAAAACTCATAAAATTTATAATTTTTAATAAATTACAATAAATAAATAAAAAATATTAGAAAAAAATGTTGGTAACATTCTTCTGAGTACAAATAAGAACATGGAGAGGTTATCCATTAGAGTAGTGTTGTTGGTTGTCCAGTGACTGCTCGTGAGGCCAGTTGGGCACTTGATCCCTTTTGATTACCTTCCATTCTTGTAAAGGATCAAACTAGTGACAAGCAACTTGAAACTTGCACCAATTTGCCTGTGTTTTTTTAATGTTTTTTTTTAACTTCTTGCAAACAAAGTTGCTGTGATACTCTCTGTCTTCTGGTGCCTTGTAAAGGTATTGTAGTTTATTACAATGATAAAAGTTATAAAGCAGATGTTTCGTTGGAGTTTAAATTAGTGGAGAAGCAATGTAATTGACTAATTTTGGGTCGAATTTTGTTAAATGCAATGATGTTGATCTGGATCTTCCCCTATTTCTTTCATTTCACCACTTGGATTCTTTCTGCTAGATGGAATTTGCCATAGGTAGTTTTGTAGCATGTTCCATGTAAAAGTCGCACCCACTGAAATTAATTTCTAAGTGTTGATGGAATCTGTCAAATGTTAAATTCTGGTATTTGTTTTCAGTTTGATGGTGCTATTCTTGTGTTTGAGAGTCTTTCTCTGCAGTTTGATAATGAAGAGATAGAAGATTCACTTGAAAAGTCCAGAGCAAAGTCAGCTTTGGAGGCACTACAGGTAGCATTTCAATATTTCATTGATGGCTTTATTAGTTCTTACTTCCTAGCTATGTAGCACAGATTCGGACATGATATGGACACACGACATATATATATATTATATAATATAAATAACAATGCAAAAATATTATATATTGATATAACAATAACCTACTAAGTCTCAAAAGAAATTATTAAGAGATATCATATTCATAATTTTCTTTTTAAATCTCGAATCCTGCCTTCATTGTTTTTATTTTTATTAAAAAAATTTCATTTTATTACGTGAAAGTTAAGTAAGGAGAGATAAAGCAATTTCTGTTCTTTATTTCTATTTTTATCAATTTTTTTTTATAAAATTCCCAAATCTTATCTTCTTTGTTCTATTTTTATCTCAAATCATCCCTTCTTTGTTTATGTTTTTATTGAAATTCATTCTTTTTTTAAAAAAATCTCAAATTCACGTATCGAATAGTACATCAAGATGGAGACGTGTTCATTTGTAGGTATCTACGATGGAGACACGTTAGTTTTGTAGGTGTCCGCATTGAGGACACATCAATTTTGTAGGTGTCTATGATGGAAACGTGTCCAATTTGTGTGGACACGGTCTGTCGAAGTGTCCGAGGTGCGTCCACGATGTGTCCGCTCTTTAAGAGTGTCAGACTCAAGTACACGGCATTCACATGCCGTGTCCGTGCAACATAGCTTCCTAGCAGATTGACAGGCACTAAATTGTGGTTAGGAAAATTTTTAATTTAGTGTCACTAAACCCTAAGCTTCTGTTATTAAAAACAATGAAATAGATTCTACTAGTTTTATTTAATGATTGAGGCTACAAAAAATACAAGTGAAAGACTAGGATACTTTTACTCATTATTAGATGGCAACTGGAGGCTGATATCTATGGGTTAACGAATTAATTACAATAATCATGTTATTGATATTTTAATTCTTTGAGAAAGGAACTAAGCTGAGGTTGACTGTGAGTCATCCCTTTAAAGTTTGAGGATTAAGGAATACAAATCACAATCATTTGACAGGATTAATTTATAAAAGCTGACTAGAGTTATTCACTTTCTTTGCTGTCTTTTTTATAGGGTGAGAGGAAAAAGTTACCCATTTATCCTTATCGCGATGAATTGCTCCAAGCAGTTCAGGAACACCAGGCATGGTTCCCCCTCGTCCCTCTATTAATTTCTTTTCTTTTTTCATATATTTTATTTTATTTTTTTATCCTGCTTCTTTTCATTGTTGGTGTTGATTAATGAATTTTATCTCTGTTGTCGGGAAACTGTTCTGTATTTGTATTAATTTGATTTCATGACCCTTTTATTAACATTTTTTTGTATACAATTGTTTGTTCATTCAAATTAAACTCCTACAATTTTTTTACATGTAGGTACTTGTAAAGTTATAACTGAAAGTGACACCTTTATTTATCTTATCATGTAAGCTAGGTTTGTGTATCTTATTTTACACTCTTCTGCAACTTTATATAGTTGCTCTCTCCTTATATTTCATTCATAACAGAATATAATCAATAATATTTTCTTGTATTCTCTCTGAAATTTCTCTAATAATCACATATACACTATTAGTCTATTCTCATAATACCAGTTATCTTGTATTTCCTCAAAATTTTATCTTGTGATTGTGTTGTGCATAAATTTCCAAAAGCATTTTTACTTTCTTAGTCAAAATCTTTTATTTTGTTTATTCATAGAGATCCAAATGCTGAAGAAAAGATGAATCCATTTGCTGAACAAGAGGCCTGGGAGGAACATCAAATTGGTACACACTTTTATATTAGCATACTTGTATAAAATCTCTCATTGTTAAGAAAGAAGTTCATATTCTTTATCTGTAATGGTATATTTCTGGATTCTGAATAATATCTTTCAGGAAAGGCAACGCTAA